CCGACCTTAGCATTGTCGAAGATAACGCGTCACCTTCTGAAGGAAACTGGGCAGTGATCGCATACCACTTCTATCGAAGAGCCTAACATTGACTACATCGACTATCCCCTTCTCGTAGCACTGAGCCGCTACCTCCGAGAGAAAGGGGTCACTGAACACAATACCCACAAAGCGACCTCTCCGAATCTTCATCCCATTACCTCCACTCGTCGAGACGAATCATTTCCTACTCGCTGCCTAGCAAAGAATGCGTATCACTCCTTCAACATACCAACTTATTTCGTAATGACACTGATTTGACATGAAGAAAATTGATCCTGAAAAAATTCGGCCAGGAATTACGGATCAACCCAATATTTACCCGCACTTTTGGGCGCAATAAGCCAAACTTGGGTGTTTGCGATTCAGCGCAATCTGGAAGCAATCAACCAGCCGGAAACATTCCTATTTTTTATTACTATACCTGAAATAGTAAAATTTGCTCGAATTTAACAAAACCTGTTGGAGTGAACTCCAGTCGGGGGGGGGGGAGAACTCACTGTTATCTAATTCGTAGTACTAGAGAGCACTACCTTGGACTGTAGTCCCATGGATGAGATACAAGGTAAACGACTCATTCCTAGTGCACTTTTGAAGGACCGCTGTATGCCTTACATCACGCATATCCTGCTCACGTCTCAGGCAATTCATGGTAAGTGATGGTCCACTCTGTGCTCCCATACCCTTGCGCTCAGGAAAGGATGTCCATACATACCCTAGTTCAGGACCACTTCCTTGAACCCTTGGGCCACAGCAGGCCGCAATCTGAAAGCACCTTGAGATCACCTTCCACACTACAACGGTCTTATCAGGAATAATTTTGAATGAATTGCTTACGTGTCATGAAATTTATTATCCTTGTCCTTTGTATTGGAGAACACAATGGAGTGCCCTCCCCCCTGCCAAACTGGCACCTCTAATGGTTACCCCAAAATAAGAATAGTGATTGAAGTATTCAATATCAATGACATTATGCTATTAGTGATCGTCAAAGAAACAGGAAATAGTGTTGGTAAGGGTACCACTCCTCGGCAGTTTTTTTTTTGACGGAGCGCAGCTTCAATTGATTGTTGAGCTATAGGTTATCAAGGAAAGATTGTTGAACTGTTGCTCATTCATTGTTGTTTTCCACGACTGCCTTATGCGTCGTTTCAAACCAATAAATAAAGAAATAAATCGTCAAGCAGAATCTGGGAGTACTCTAAATATTTACAAGTCGGCACCCTGTTCGCGGGTTTTACAGCTGGTGCCAAGACATGAAGATTTTGAGTTTGTTTCTGGGTATTTATTTAGTTTGACTGATTTTTACAGGTCTTCTATGGTTTCACCCTTTCACCAAATGGCGACTATCCGGAATTATATGCCAATTCACAGTCAGGTACTATTTGAGACTTTCCAGACCGTCCTACAGTACCTTCTGACTCAATTATTTTCATCACAGACGCCAACTACCTTGTTGCGGATGCCGTCGGTTTACTACCTTTCCACTTTGACGTACTACCATCGCTTGAAGGACGGCTTAACTATGCCATACTCGGCTACGACTTCAATATGACAATGCCCCTGGTCATGCAGGACAGATGGTATTTCTCCTTGATCCTCAATTCAGTTCGGGACCTGCACTCGTTATTATGAATCTATTAAGGTTGTGTGGATATCCTCAAGTCTCGACCAAATTCACATGCCCACAGAAGGGTTCTATCACTGAATTCTTCGTAAAGGTAATTGTAGAAATTACTTTCTAATAGAATCGAATAAAATTAGCGCTACCTTCAGTTCTCTGGGATCGATCAATTTGGTTATTCATTCGATCGATACACAAATGCTATTTGCGCCCAAGCGGGTAATTTGCTAATTTAGAAATTGGATCGGCAAGCTACTGCACTCATGCGAGGGTAACAAATACGTTTTCAGGCGTTAACTGTAAGAATGGTTTCTCTTACAACGGACAATGCATCTGTTATCCTGGTTACGAAGGTCTTACGTTAGTTTACCTTTCGTTGTTATTTTCATATTACTTCCTTAAAATTTTCATAAAAACATAATAGTGCGTGTCAAGCTTACACACCAGCACATTTCTCAATATGAAAAATCTACTCATACTCCTCTAGCGATTCAAAGGCACATTTCACGATCAGAATGTGGATTTGGCCGGAAGCTTTAAATTTATACTTTTTCTTTGAAGCCACGAGTCAGGCTCAGTGGACCAAACCAATCACTTTAGTGGTCTATGTGTATGGCTTACGCACCCACAGGGACGTTGCCATGCTCAGAATCACAAAAGGCGCCGTAATAACGCCCCAAGGCATGCATTAAGCGCTGTATTCGCAGCCGCTCGGAACGCTTCGCGGCCGCCCACCATGGGATGTGGTGCGTGGCTGGCCTAACTTGTGAATCCAGCTGAGTTGATTGCCGTATCACCGATGGAACGGCTGGCATATCCAGAAAACTCGTTTGGACGAACTCTCCCCCGAGAAATCTCCTTCATCTGCTAGAAGGATAGGTTTTCATTATAGGTTTCTCCGCCAGTTTTTTCGTTTTTTTCTTCACTATCGTTCCACCTCCCATCTCTAAACTCAAATACAGTGCCATAATGCCGAAACACGAGCCTGACTTTTGCCTTTAAGCGAACCGTACTACGGTCTAGGGCGCGCAGCGCAGGAGCGGTAATAGGTAATAGAGAATATGGGATGAGAGGACACAGACACATTGCCGCACGAACCGTTCCATCGGTGTGCAACAGAAGCGTCTCGCCGCGCACTTGACAACGCCTCAGCGCCCTTGTTGCGCCGCGGGCATTTGAGCCGAAAGCACATATACTTTATTCTCGTATAGCTCACAAGGAAAGGCTCCCAGGTCGCCATGGCCATTCGAGAAGAGATGTATACGACTAAATGTGCCTTCGGACGCTGATCTCGAATCTGCCTTCCAAATCTGCTGAACGATTCTCTGAATGGAATTATGAAGCAAAGCAACGCAACGACAGTGGTCGGGATTTGCAGTCAAAACGTCGTAGAATCGGACCCTGATTGCGTTTACTGTCTTGCGTTCTTCAGGACTTAGGCTAAATAGGCTACTAGAAGCTTTTTAGCCGTGGTCCTGAAGAAGGTAAAACAGTATATGCGATCAGGGGCCGATCCTACGACGTTTTGACAGCAAATCCCGACCACTGTCGTTGCACTGTTTTGCTTCATAATTTCATTGAGAGAATCGCTTAGCAGATTTGGAAGGCAGATTCGAGATCAGCGTTCGAAGGCACATCTAGTGGTACACATCACTTCTTGAATGGCCATGGCGACCTGAGCCTTTCCTTGTCAGTCCTGCTGCGCTACAGTTGGTTCGCTTCTTTTACTCATGGAATATGCCTTTAATTGACGGTCTTGATTGTCTTTATAGATGCGAAACGCCGATTTGCCAGAACTATGGCTACGTGAAGAATGGAGTCTGCCAATGCCTCAGCTCCTACAGCGGAACATTTTGCGAACTCCGTAAGTCATTTGCTTCATGCGGTGCCGCTGTAAAAAACAGAAAACTTTCTTGCTTATGGTGATGTGTCCTGCTACCGCGATATTGTTTTTCCATTCAAATTGAAACCAACATTTTAAAGACCTCAGGGAAGTGATTACTTAGTTCGACAAATTCACGTACCAAAACAGCATTACTTCTGTTTTTCAAAACGTTGTAAATCGTAGGTGATGCTTTCCGGAGCGGAGGAGCATCGGTCGATTTTGGAGGCGTAAATCGAAGGAGGGAAAAAGATGAGACCCAGAGGGGGCAAGTGGGCGTACTTTTGGCAGGTGCTTCTGTTTTGCTCCGTGCTCCCGTACAAGAAACGGAAATCGGAAGAGCTTCACCTTGTTATATATGTTTCTTGACAGAGTCATTCGAATCTAATTGTTATAGAACTATGTGATTAATTTACAGCGGTCTGCGTGCAGAAGTCCAATCCCACGTTCTCTGATACTGGTTGGTTCAGTTTTTCCCATTCACTTCCCGTATAGATTTGATATAAATCGCTGATTCAGGAAGAACGTTCGTAATCATGCTTGAGACTTCGTACAACATGGGTAGCACAATATTCCAAATGAAAAGGAGCCTCAAAAAAGCTTTGGATAGTATACAGAGTGATCCCACAACAGCTGGATGGTTCAGCAAGTTCATACTCTACCCCTTTGATTCCAGTAAGTTTTCCATTTCTGTCAGAATACACAAAAACCTTGGCTTTCATTGTATCGAATGTACTCGTTAGAAATGGCGAAATTAAGGAAACAGGAAACTTCAAAAATACACCCTGCCGCAAAACGTCAAGATTGAGCGAGCAATACCAATTTCTTTCTGGCCGTGTCTAAGGAGGATCGTATTATGAGGGGTACCCGACAGGAGGCCCGTCGCACGTAAAGAATGTAGAGTCAGCGGACAGTCACAGCGCGTCCCGTGCGATGAAGGATGTACAATGATACATTCTATCTAACCTGACGCGAAATCATTACAGTACGCGCTCGACTCGTCCGCTGACTCTGTCTTTTTGTCGCGCGACGGGCCTGCTGTACCCTACCATGCGGGTTTGAGCGGAGGATCATAGTTGGAGTATGGTGTCGTTTTTACGGCATGAGAGATTCTAAGGAGTTACAGAACTTCTCTCTCGGACTTTAGAAAGGGCTCGATAAATGACGCATCCATCTACGCAAGTTTATGATGTGAAGAGGACACAAGCAGGAATGTGTCACCTAGTACTTGGTTCAACGACACCTTACACACCATCAATTACAGAGTATGGGAGTGCGGAGTAGCTGAAATCGACCACGCTTGATTCTGTCAGCTGGTTGGCCTTGGTGCCTTTTACGAGAATTGGTTTCGGGACAATCAGCGCGTCGAAGGCAGTGATTACGATAGATGAAGGGCCTTGCGGTCGTGATGACTACTTCAAACGTTATTGGTAGAACGCGTTAAGAGACGGTCTCAAAACACTCCCCAGGCTGAGAATTCTAGTCCACCAATGACGTCCAATGACTTCATCGGAACCGCACCGCCCTCTAGCCATAGCGATCACTGTCTTTAGAAGGCTTCTGTAATTAGACGTCTTTTGTCAGTCATCAATCACACAACTTCTTCCCCTGACACGTCCATGAATTCGCTATAAGTAAACTTCACTGTACTTGCTAGAAGTGAATTTTACCCTAATGTGTTGTAGTTAATTAAATATCTTTCAAGTGCCATATTTTCAGCTTCCAATCAACAATACTGGTATCCACCCGTCATCGCAGATAACTCTGATGCCATTGTTGCTGCTGTGAATAACATTACTACAATGTCATGTCCTGGTCCTGACGGATGCTCACCAGGTATGTTTCCAAAACTAATGGCTACTTCACGATTTCCTTTGCAAAATACTACATTTCCCTATACTAATTGTGGTCTGGAAGTGATGAATCGCAGGGTAGGACCTCAATGAAGGTTCTCAAAAAATGAAACGCTTTTTTTTGAAAGGACTGAATGTGGACTTTCATGAGGGCAAAATATCAAAAGCAGTGGTGGTATCGGAAGTGTAGGTAAGACGTGTAGAGCTTGACCAATGTGTCACTAAAAAGCCTTATCCTCCACAGCGTCCCCTAGTGGCTGGTCACCTGTTGCGCGCCTCCGAGCGCTCCGCCCACTTAAAGTGCGATCTTTATTTTTGACGGAGCTTATGGATTGAAAATGCCGTTCTTTTGGTTGTTTCAGATTGTCCACGGCCGATTATGGGTGCTTTAAAAAAAGTCCTTGCACTGCCTGATCTTGTCAGTCCAAACTCAGTTGTTCTCATCGTAACACGCTCATCGCCTGAGGACTACCCACTGGTCAATGGCATGATCCAGACTCTGATTGACAGCAAAGTTCAGGTTCGGCGTTATAAAAGTAAACTTATTTTTTTTACCCATGTTATCTCTCTACAAGAAATTCGTCAATCCTCTAGTATTGGTTATTAATAGGCGAAGAACTTGTGGTTGAGATTTTAGATCAACTTCGTGCTTCCTGCAATCACGTCACCTTGTGGTGAGGGTTGGAACACGCCCGCAGCAAATGCCATGTACACGGCTACCAGTTACAGCGATGGAAATGTGTTTGTTGTAAGTATTTGTTATGCAGAAGATTTTCGGGAAGTGCTATGTGTAATATACAGTAATGGTGAATTCAGATGTCACCGGTTGATTTTGCTGTGAACTTCCTTCAGCAGTATCTACCATCCCTATACAGATCGGCTGGTCTTGAGTATGGCAGTACCACGAACTGCACTTACCAGGAGTACTTGTTCCAGGTAAGAATATTCCCCTCATTTTTTCATGTTTAAAACGATGGTTGCAATGGTTGGGAGGCGGAGAGATGGGAAGGTCATTGTGGAACGATGTCAAGAGGCGATCTAACCACCTCCTCTGCGTACTCCTCAGCCCGCCTCCCATCCAGGATCAACTGTGACTTTGAGCTGATTTTGAAGCAGGGTCAACCGTGTGTTCGCACTGTTCGAACGAGGGTACCGCATTTGTGGTTGATTTTGGGAGGGGGGGTCGCATTCAGGGGTTGAGTGGGAGTAGTATTTGCATCGCTCGACGGCCGTTTTGTAGGAGAAAGTGGGCGGAGTTAAGTTGTGTCAACTGGTGTCGGAATTAAATACTATAGAACAGCCATGATGACGAGATGGCGAGGTGGTGCTCGGCGTAGGGAGAAGGGTGGTTGTATTAGGGGAGCCTCCTTTACCGGACAAGGTCATTTGTGCAACGCCAGGCATTTGAAATTGAGATGTATATGGTGCTATCGCGCTTGGGAACGCCTGCAGCTCAAATATCTGTTCCTATATCTGCTGAACTTTCTCTGAAAAAAGAGTTATGAAGCAGTAAGCGCGGGGCTGTGGGTCGACGCTCACGAAAAAGAGCGTCAAGGGATCAACTCCCGGGGGCGAGTTTGTTCTCTTTCCGTTTGCCTAAGATAGACTAGAAGCTCCTAACCATTGCTTAGTCTGTATGCTTGCCTATGCGTTAACAGTAAAAAAGAATTTAGAGCGCATATAATTATGAACATTGGCGGCACCGCTTCCTCAACGTTTGGGCGATGTGCGGCAGGCGCAGCCGCAAGTTCGCTCGAACGAAGTATGATATTCGTAATCAGCGGAGTCAGACTCTGCCTGCTTGAGCGAACTTCCAGCGAATTCTGAAATTTTGACCCAAACCTCGAAAATTTGGGCAGTCAAGGCTTCGCACACATCCACCAATCCATTACAAAAGGCCTGGACTTGGACAGGAATACAATTTTCTGAAAACAAATTTTCATATTAGACGAAATTGTGTCTGGCTTGCGCGTCGCCATTCATCCAAAAAATCTACAAACCATTATTCATAAACGAACACCTTCGCTCCCTTTCCCCGTCAGCCATGATTGGTCAACCAAAAGGGGAGTTTGAGGGTGGGAATCCATCGCGCCCCCGCTTTTTACTCAATTAGTGTCGTCACCAGATTTGGCGAACAAAAAATCGCTCGTAGGGGTAGCTTGAATCCCCCCTGAATCGAATATCATACTAACTTGCCACGGAAAAGCATTAGTCACTGCAGACGGGCACCATCGGGCTGTTCACAGACAAATAGTGCCTAAGTTTAGAAGCGTCAGTGCAAACTATCGTGGAGTAGCGTCGGGCGAACATGTAGCTAAATAACAGATTCAAAGGCGTTTTCAGCCATGTTGAAAAAGCAAACAACGAACCCCGGAGGTACCGGAACCACGACCCCGCGTGAGAACCGACCGCTTACCACTGCGCTTACTAGGCTCACACCAGGCAGTGCCTCGGCGGGATTCTCTTTCGATACTTTTGTAGTGCGGCTACATGTGATGGCGGGTAAACACTGAAAATCCAAGGCGGCAAAAAACCCTCTGTAACTTCTTACACGCAAGAGTTAGCAGAGGAGTGAAACAGATTTTGAGTTCAGCGCTCTTTCATGCTGCGTACAGAAATGTGCACCTCATTTATTTGGCCGGTTGACCGTAATGACCCTTCCTGTTGTTTAGTCTCATGATGGTGGTAGGCGACGAGAGCGTCGCATCGATACCCTCATATAGGAAGGCGGGGTCGCCAATTTTTTTAAAAAGTGGCCAATCGGGCACGGTACCCTGTTTGAAGATGCTTGCGAACCCTTCTTTACCTCACGTTCTTAGCGACAAGCTGCACTCAAGCGAAGGAAGTAACTCATTGAGTGTCGAACCACCCTTCACCTTCTAATCTCCTCATCTCACCCCGTGCTGTTTGCTATAGCATTTATCTGACTGCTCAGACACGCCTGCAACTCGCTACGTCCAACTTTTCCTTGAGAATGACCATCGAGTGCAAGGGTGGAGGGTACTATGTTTCGTGGCAAATGCCCTTGATTTGTTCGCTGGCCTGCTTTTCTGAAGTCATCTGTCAAAAGATGCCAAAAACCCGCTCAACAACAGAGCCAACGCTGCGTGCGATTTTCAACGGCCACGTCGCGCCACTTTCGCCCCGATTAGACACGTTCTCCGCGCGCGAACATTCCCACTCGCATGCTCGAGCCGTCTACGTCTCCGCCCTACAGCGTGCCGCTTGAGGATCTCTCAACGTGCTGTTGCGTAACTGCGCAAGCAGGTTGACTCTGCGTCAACAACACACCCGCTCACGCATACCACATATCCATTTCTATTCGCAAATACGACTCCGACCTTTTGCTTCACCCCACCCAACTATGATCCCCTTCGATTACAGAAACGTTATCGCGTTTGAATCGGCGGTCAGACGGCTTAGGCTGCTACCAGCCTCGCAATCACTGCCTTTGGAATTAATGTGTTCGTGTGAATCTTGAGAACACATACTTTAGGTCGAGCATTCATTTATGGTTCACAATGGTATGATCATCCGATCATCAATCCACCAGTGCTAATCACACTGACAGATCCGGCAGCTACGTCGAACCTTGTCGGGCTTAATGCTGTGAACAAGACTCGGTTTCCTTTTTGTTGTACTTGCGTATATTCACCGCGATATCTCTTCCTTGCTGTGGACTGTCTTCCGAGCAGGGTGAATATCTATCGTTGAAATTCTCGACAGGAGGGGTCGTATTTGTCAGAGTGGGTCATGTGGATCGTTCTCATTGGGGTCAGTAACGTCAGATAAGAAGGAGAGGGTGTAGCGCAGCAGAAAATGAGGATATGTGAGAAAACATGAGATAAAATAATCTTTGCAGGTTCACTCGCTCCATTCCTTTACATTTATGAGATGAACGTATTTGAAAGCAGTACAAGGAATGAAAGGCATCTACGCAATGTGTACACGTGCTGTAGAGGCTCTCCTTTATGTAGGCCCGCTCTCTCGCCCTTAATACCTCGTTGAAAGTGAGGCAGTTGTTAGGGAGCTGTCGCAAACCGGCAAGATTTCTGGAAAGGCCATAGGCGGATGAGGCTGTTCCTCAGGTTACGGGAGTTACGTTAGTTTTGTAGTAAACACTACAAAACAGCTTCTGTCAGCAGATCATCATCATATGTGTAACACCTTTTAACAGATTCTACACTTGCGTGGAGGTCGGATGCATGGCCTATACTAAGACGAGATCAAACGATGTCGATTGTCCCTTTCTTGTCGCTTAAGTTTGGAGAATTCATTCTAGGCACATTTCGAGCGCTGTCAACAAATTGCATTTGCAGTGATGAAGAAGGGAGCGAATTTTTGAGTGGCCGAGAACCATCCTTTATAGATCCTCGACGTGAATATCTGCTCAACTAGTGAATGTAGAAGGAAGCTAAACATTCTGTTAGAAAGCGCAAATCTTTCGCTTTTCAAAGCTGTATTCGCTTACCAAAGTTCTTGCGAAATTAGAGAGATATTGGCTAAGTGGCAAAAACTCGCTTGAAAAATTCCGCATCATCGACGTTCCCTCGACAAAATTTGAGAGACTCTATCTCTTGGAGTGTAATGCTTTTAGATCAGTTTCAATATTGCCCGGCATTAGCAAATCCAGCTCTATCTAACCCTACCACAACCGAACGCTTTGCTGTGCATTGATGGAACTCGTTTATTCACATCAAGGCAAAGTAAGAGGGGTCGTATTAAGATTCCGATCTGAGGGAGGGGGTCGTACTGATCTGACCATGTCCACGACACGATTTTCACCCTGCTCCCGAGTCATAGGTTTTTGACGAGTTTAGAACAGTGTTAAATTTCAAAAAAAAGCGAGCTTTAACAACACTTTCAAGCTTCTTGATTCTCACGTAACTGGTCGCTTACGGCCACAGTTCAGTTTAATTTATGTGAGGTGTACGCTTAGATAGTGGCAAACTCCTAGCCGGGATCACTCATTGCTGTGTGGCGCGCGCGACTGCACTTGCAACGCCGCCTTTTTCGCGTCATTGAGGGCTTCTCCATTGTGAAACAATTAGTGATATGTGAAAGGCACTTCTGTTGGAAATGAATGTTCACCCACAGTCGTATAATCTCAGAAGCAGGGTCAAGCTTGCGTTGAGGAATCCTCAACAGATGGACAAGGGGGGGGGTCGTATATGGTACGCTGGGAGGAGGCTTCTATTTAGTGCGTTATTGTGGGTTTTTTTTTACTTCCTTTTCCTCTTCCATACCACCTTCTACCTCTAGGTTCATAATTGAACGTTTTTTCCTACCCACTTTATCCCGAAGCTTGCCTTTGAGGTTTCCAGTCAAGAGCTTTGCGCTGAAATGCCACGTTGAAAATAGCTCACCCTACGAAGGGGGAGGGGGGCTCGCCTTGCTGCGCTCTGTAGGAAACGCACGCTCATACGACTCCCTTTAAAGGACGAATTCACGCTGGAAAAGCAACCCATTCCAAATTAACCTAGGGATGGTGAGTGGTACACGAAAGAAGGAAGAATCATGAGAAACGGCCCAGAACCCGAGAAATGGTACCCCTTCCTTGCCCGTTGATTCGAGCATTTGTGCGACTCTCATCGCTGTGCCTCTTCAACAGTACGCTCTCTCAGCTATCTAAGCACTCGCCACGTATTGAAACGGCGAGTGATCAGATGATCGGTGGGCGGAGATCGCCGGACCCGCCAGCTTTGAGGCGTGATAGGTCGCCGAGGTCAAGTTTTCCATGCGATTTGCGGTCAGTTCGCACCCTCAGGAGGTCCGTGGGTCCCTCAACTAGGTCAGTTTCCCTTTCTTCGACCTTCATTCTAATCGTGAATTCCTGCTTTAAGGCACCGCTATCGCCACACCGCAACGGTTGGGATCTCGATTAGGCCCCCGCCATTAACAAAGAGCGCACTCCTTTGTAGTCTGGGTCATTGTACTCAGGCAAATATCCATCTTCTTCCTATGAAAAATGAATAGTTAACAAAGTAGAGACGCTTTTTTCGAATTTACAGAATATGCCGACTATTCTCATGATAAACTTCATTTTCAGGTGATTATATTCCTTTGCCTCCCAACCTTATCGCCAGCGACACCAACTACCTTGGAGTAATACAGGTACCTCATTGATGATGTGTTTATCTGAGACAATTCATATAAGAATCTCCATTGTACAACACGCAAAAAAGCGTCTTAGCAAAACGACCAACTTATCTTGTAAGGGTGTGCCCAAGTCTAGTGGACCAAACGGTTCCAAAGAATGTTGTACCTATTCAGGTGAATGACACCGGTGCAGTTAGAGCTGGTACCTATCGTCTGACGATGTCTGGAGGAGGAGGCTCCTACTGCAATATGAATATCAGAGGTCGTGGAGCCATTGAGGTTGCATATTTTTCTTGTTGGTAAATTTGGAACAGCTCTCAGATTGACGCATTTCATAGATCTATCCAGCCTACGTCCGATCCTCAAGCGACGCCTATGGAGGAGCCACAAACGATATTGCTCACTATGCTCCAGTCCTCGGCACGTTCTTAGCCAATATTCATGTGTTGGACAGCGATATATTTTACTATTGATTTTTCGTTTATTGATTAATTTAAGATGAAAATAATACCATCGTTGTTCATGCTGATGGACTCGTTAATGGAACGCTCACCTATGTGCAGGTTATTGCACCTGGTGGTACTGGACTGCAACATACTTCAGTACTGATGCTACGTGACATTAACACGTGCTCTTATGAGTATTACGCACCTGTGCCCTTCTTCTGCAGTTACGAGGTAAGATTCATCTTCGGTGAATCTCTAGGGCAAGCTGGACAGATCAGTGGGATAAATGCAAAGGGTAGCCAACCAACCCGCGTCAACTGTCCGTTCGCACTACTCCATGATGTGGTCGCATTTGTGATTTCGGAAGGGGTGGGGGGGGGTCGCATTTGGGGTTGAGCGAGGTGAATGATCTTGAAGTGAAGTGCGAACGGAGGTGGTCGGGAGGGTTTGATATTTAAGCATTCGCCGTTTCGTGGCACCGGTTTGCCCTCCCCCGCCTCTAAGCCTCATGTTGGTATTGAGGTCCCATCAAAACTACCTGAAGTGGGAGAGGGTTGCAAAATTTTTAGAAAAAGGCGAACGCGACGATTTACCTTACCTAACTTTCTTTCCTACTTCCACCACTTTACTAGGTTGTCCAGAAAGCCTTGCGACGCTTTGACTGAGATTTTTTATTCACTCTTCTCTTGAGTGAAACATTCAATGTTCAAGATTATGCTATTGGCATACAGGAGATGTGCCCTTTTTTCCAGGCAGCTTTCCAATTCTCTTACTTTAGAACTTCTGCGTTTGCGTTGAAAAGAAGCGACCACTCCCACTCTCGAGTTGACCTCAGTCATCGAATTTTTTATCTTCTAGATGACGCTTCTGAGCACTAATTACCTAACAGTCAGAATCGGCCACGTCGGGCAAATAAGCTAATCATGGCCAAATTTTCAACCAAAATCAATGATCTTTTGGTATGTTATCCTTCGCCACATTTACCTAGGTAACACAGTATTGAGCATTTCTTAGTGTACTTTATGCATGGCTTCGGTTAAATTTGAGGGTGTGAGCCGAGAATGATCACCACGTATCCGCGGTGCATGTATCCAGCAGCTTTCTCTAGAGAATCAGTTTGCACCACATAAACACTAGAAAATCTTTCCACACGAAAGTCTGCTTTTGCTCCTGCAGGCAGCTTTCCTCTGAGTCGAATCCAATAGAACTTATGTGTTCAGTTTACTTATTAGGAGCTATCTTCATTAGTTGTCATTTTTGGTCAAGAGATTCCTTCGATGTGAAGGAAGGATAACATCCCAACTCAATGGTCACACAGCCAGTTTCCCCAGACTGGCAAACCCATGTGGTATTCATTGCGAACATGCTGCCCATAACCAAGATCCTGGGGTCAGTCGATAAATGTCAATGAGTGCACCTCAGCGTTGTGGCTAACCCACGATTGGTAGGAATCGGCCACGTCTCTATGAATTAGTAAGCTCTCGGTATTCATCACCCTCAGCTAAGAAGGCAGTGCTTTACTTCGAACAAAATATTTCCGGTTGCGAGACCTTAGGGACAACAGGACACTCTGGTCTGCTGAAAGAGTTATCATGTGAACACAGCAGAGATGCTAACTGCAAGAACACGAACGTCGCCACGAAGCCCTCATGTACTCTTTTACTGGAACCTTCGAAGACACACTATAATAATCGGATGCCAAGAGAGTTAAGAAGGGTTTTGATTTTTTTCCTTAAGGACTTTGTTCAGAGTGTCACAGAGATTTCTGCTTAGCCCAATACTTGTCTTGCGCGCAGGTTAATTTGCAATGAATACTTTTTTTTTCAAGTAGGCCTTGGTTCAATCAGATTAGCCTGTAGGCCGACGATCAATAGATCTTCAGATGTCGTCGTGACATACACTGCCAATGTATCAAGGGCTATAGAAAGCGATGGACTGCTGGAATTTTATTTGAATAGAGCTTTTCAGCAGTACATTATCATCGTCTACGGTATTGATTCGCAAGGAGCTACGTTCCGTCGGAAATACCTCACGAATTGCGTATCAAGTCGCCCACCTCCATTACGTGAGATTTCAACTTCACGCTTTCAAGGTGAAATCTTTACGAAACAGAAAATTATTCAGCGCCTAAGCCTACCTGTGATTTGGGTGCCGTGACCCAAGACTTGCTATTCATTCTTGATTCTTCTCAACAGAACGCAAATTCTGAGAGCACTTTCAACAGCGTAGGTTCCATTTCCCAGTTGAGATTCTTTCGGAAGTATTGAATCAGCAATTTTAGATACGCGACTTTGCCGTGAAAACTCAGCTACCGTTCCGGTTTTCTTCTGACTATGCTCAAGTGCGCTAAGTCCTTTGTTCCATTTTGATTGCACTGTGTGACTTAACGGCAGTGGTCCTGATGGATGTGAGGCGAGGAGGGTTGAACACGTTATTGCTGGAAATGTGACGAAAGGCGGTTTACCCACTTTCCTAGCGTGGAACGGAAGTGGTTAGACCGCCTCTTATTGCTCTTCCTCAATGGCGTGATCAGCTTGTGTCCGGCTCTCGGTCATCGTGAATGCTGCCTTTAACATCGGGTTTACAGGTCGCTGCCATGACCCTAGCTGATACGGCTCAGGGTGGTTTTTCGTATAATGCTGCCGAACATAGCTTTGATAATGTTCAAATGCTACTCTCCAACCTGACGTTCCTTGGTCGACCTGGACAAAATGTGACAAGGTTGGAGATCAATAATCCTCCTAGGCAGAGCTCTTCTAAACTCTTAATGTATGTAATCATTTCAGTGCCATGCAGCTCACTATAAATTCTTACGGCAGCGAGAATCAAGGCTATCGTCCATCAGCACGCCATTTGATGGTATACGTTACTAACAGCAAGTTCGTTTGTTCTCAGTTATTCAATAACGGACAAACTCTCGTTTTTTAACTTGGTATAGCATTGCGAAGCAGCAGTATGCATCCAATTCTTCTGAAATTGCGAACCATCCGGAAAAAACGTGTGTTTGATGCGCTAATGTGTAATTATGCTGACGCGCTGCTACCGCTCGCATCTTTTCAGGGATCTCATACTGTTCGCAGGGATACCTGCTCTGTTGGGGGTTCCACTTGATCAAAAACGGAACGATATGTTTCAGTGCGTCCAGAAACCCTCCAGTATTTTTGGTAATCCTAAACTGCTGTCTAGAATTCGAAAGGGTGCTTAGTGCTACTGCAAAGTGCTGCTGTGAGCAACAGTAGTACTTTGCAGTAGCACTAAGCACCGTTCAAGGCTTGAGACTGATGCACTGAACTTCGGCTTTGACCGTTGTGAGCATGCCGAGGTATTAATTGAGTGGCAGCAAACATTTGGCTGGGTCCACCATCCGTTGGCAATTTCCCAAAGGGAAGGGAGGGGGTCGTATTAACAGTCCCAGGAGGGGTTCATAATCGGGGTTTCGGAGTGACGAGGCGTGGTATTGGGAGGGAGAGCAAGCAGTCCTTTTAGAGAATCGAGATAGAGTCCTTCCACAATTTTATCCGAAGAAGCTGAAATTAATGGAAACGTAAATGTGTGCATTTTGCTGTTCTATTCCTGTGTATCTCTTCTCCCTTGACTGAGGATTTAGAGGAATTTCGGTAGTGGGCTGGAGTGCGTAGACGATGGCAAGTCCAATGACGCAGTGAACACTAGACCGGAAGATGTGTGGCACGGGGTTTGGCTGTCCCGATTTCAAGAATTTTCCCAACGTGATCTTGTTGGAGGTGTTGCAGTGGCAGAATGTGCCATCATCACATGCATGACTTTTGCATCGATTCCTGACCAGGCAATTCAAGGGATCCATCACTCCAAGGTATCCTGATCGAATGACCTTAAACGCTAAATTTGGTATAAACATATTTCTCCACGAAATTTTCCCATACGCTGGATACCAACGCAAGCAGAGCAAGCGGAATCCACCCACGACGCGTTCACTAAAAATCCACCATAACGTTCCTTTGGTGGAAGTGTAGTTGAGATGTAAGTCGGGGGGAGGGGGGGGCAGGCACTCCTTGATGCCTTGTCCTAGTACTAGAGAGCGCTTTTCCGAAGTTTCTAACACAAGGGTAAGGTAAGACGTGAACTGATAATTTGTGGTGCACTTTTGATAAAGTCCGGTGGGTATCCTACGTGCCACGCATTTAGCCCCCAATCCATCCAATAGTTCGCACTTGGTCATCCACCCTGAAGCTCTTCCACGCCTAGGCAAAAATGCTCATTCTCCTAGTCACGAACGTTTTCTTTAACCATGGCAGGCGGGATTGTAAACCATCTCAGGGCTTCTTCCACATCATCGATAATCAGAAGTAGGTATATTTGAATGAGTTGGTTACGAACATGAGCGCTGCTGTTCTTATCTTCAGTATCAGAGAGCGCAATGGATTGCCCCCCCCCCATCCCGAACCCCCGAACTGCATTATCACTCATCATTACGTAGAGAAATGTGCAATGTCTTGGTCGTCGATTACCTTCGATATCACTGCATACTTGTGTTGAAAATCGTGAGAGAATACAGAGAGCAATAGCCACAGGAATCCTTCACATCTTCTGAACACCTCGACAAAGGAGGATTTTTGAATAAATACGAAAGCTACTATTTCAGCCCGACTGATGATGATCCGGCTGGTTTGCTATATGCCCTTCGACGACAAGGACTCTATCAAGTAGCGATTGTCACCGTAAATCTCGTGAGTGCTAATATTCTCTAAAGAATGACAGCTGTCCTAATTAGAAATGAACGTTGAAGCAAAAAGTTCCCGGAGCAAGTATTTTCTAGCGGAAAAGGTTGGAAACTTAACATGTGGGAAACAATGCCGTTGTGGGGAGAACATTTCAGTCCGAGGAGCCTCACTGGCTCACGTCATGCCCTCGAACGGTTTTGCTTCCATTAGCTGATATTTCTCTAAGATCTTCTTCTAACCCACCGCCTATCTCCTTCCCCCCCTATATTACCGGTGTCAGACTTGCGCTCGCGTGGATTCCGTAAATTCGCTAGGAACCCGAGGAGTACGAGCGATGCGCCAGCGAATCAGCAGTAAAGTTGCTGGCACAACAGAACCCTTGGGACACCGTTTGTGAATCTTGAATTGCATCCATGGATTCGCAAGTGTCTGAGGGCGGCCTATCTGCAATGAGCACAAGGCGCAAATTCAAGAAACACGCACCGTAACCGTCCGCATATTTGTCTAATGAGCAGTGGGTGGGATAGTTTGGTTGACCATATATGGATAGTGTTCAGCAGATTACGATAAAAGGAGCCTAAGCAGGTATTTAGTGGTGGTTCGTGCGACGAAAGGCATGGAGAGCGACCTAATAAAGCTCCACGCATTTATACTTTCCCTTTGAATTTCGCTCTGGCTCCACAGAGCATCCCGTGGTCCATCTGCGTTCTAGCTCTTGGGATGTGTACCACTTCTCCTTACTCTCTCTCCACACTTGATTCCGTCTTAGCATGCGTAACTGGAAATTCGTTCAGGTCGTGGAGCACCTTTTCAAACGGTTTTCTGCACATTATAGTGCGGAAGTGGTGTAGTGGCAAGTGGCACATATACCACGCGAGCAGTCCGGGGATCAAATCTAGGGTCGTCGTAGTCGCCCAGACCAACCAAACCTACTATCCCTACGGGATCGGTTAATTGTGCCACCCTTGTATGGGAGGATAAAAAACACTGACTTGAACATCGGCTGGCCCCCGCAAGTCATTGTATAGGCGGCATCGCGTTTAAACGCCACTACGAATGTACAAATGGAAGAAGAATGCGTGCCGCATCCCAAAAAGAGATTGATCAACGCAAAGCTTTATCCTTTTATCTTTTATAGGGGCATGTGCGTGGAGCATAGAAGTGGTTTACCTGTCTAACCCCTAATTTTCAAGCATATACCAATGTGCAGTCGCTCGAGCCTAAGCCTAATCCAGCCAAGGGCCCCGACTAGGATGTGGGAATTAGGGGTTACAAGGTTTTGGACGTTCCTCTCCTTCGTATTCGACACCAGTTTTTTGAGCACCCATTGCCTTCCAGAGTGTCCGGCTTCTACCAACAGCTACATGCGCTGAACAGATTTCTGTGCTTTCTAGGTCCGTCTAGGTCAGTGTAGGGGCTTTGATCAGATCAAAGCCCCTACACTAACAGATTTCACTTTCTTCTTAGTTCTTAATTTTCCAGACACCAAGTGATAAACTTCTCTCACTGGTGAACGAGAGATGCATGTATCAAGCAGCGAATGTGGACGCTTTGATGTCATATGGAGTGGACTTTGTTCAAGGACTGGCATGCGCGTAAGTGGCTCTCCAGAGCAGTATCAACAAAAAGTTCATTACGCAGCTTATCTAGTGCTCATTTCAGGGACCCTCCTCTGTGTGGCAACTGAGAGTGGAATCACAGAGCTTCATTTCACGTTGTGTTCATACTTTGAGTAAAAACCTGAGTAAAAATGTGTTTGATTTTGTTGAACAGACTTGTGGTTTTCCACATGAACTACTGGAGTTTTGAGGAGTATTTGTGGCTGGATGTTGTACTTCCATTTGAAACCTTGAGAAGACCAACAAACACCAATCGACCGTTGCTCAAACGTACACTCTGAAAAATGCAGTTCGAGTTCTGTGGCAGGCTGCCCACTTTTTGGAACATGTTAGTTGTGGGACCATGTTTCATTCTCCCTCTAACATAACCTGATTCTGGCGCTTCGGCATTGTTGGAAGATGGGTTAGCTTCGATTAGGGTTAGGAGTGAGTCTAGCGATACGTTCCTTTTTTTCAGCGCACGCGTAATCTTTTCTAAGTTTATTGTGTTTGCTCCATGGAAGAAACCCTAGCTTGGCTACAGACATAGGAGCTCGCGAAATGGTCACGTATATTTTAATTTAGGAGGAGGATTTTCGAAACGCACAAAATTCTAAGTCTGATTAATCTTTCGTTATCATTTCTCTTCATGACTGTTAAGGTTAAAAGACTAGTAGAAGTAAGTAAGTGTCCTTAGATATGATAACATGTGTGTTTTTGTTAAAATGATAGAAGTGAAATAGCTTTTCAAGTCAATTGTAGCTAATTCTGACAATTTTTGCATTTTCATTCTTATTTCAAGTCTTTGTATCGAGATTCCATTACTATACTCCTTGCAATCTTTTACTTACTTGAAGTCACTGTTTCGATTTTGCATCACCCATGTTTTATGTATTTAGCACCAAAATCCGCTTGAATTACCTGAGGCGTCCGCGCTCGCAAAATCGCCCCGGTCCCACGCGGCCAAAAAAGCCAAAACGCGCGTTGTCGTCAACGTGTTAATAGGATAACAAGCGCTTAGCAAAGGGATGTGCTTTATAAACGATCCATACCGAATCGCAGCGACTTTAGAAGCATGCTTGGCCTTGTCCAGGTAGAGGTCAGATTCTCCTATCCGTTGTCTTAGTTAACGGTTTATGTTATGTTATGTTTATTACATGACACTTATGTATAATGCCAGATGGCCGACAAACAAGAAAGAAGAAAAGACGCACAATTTCAGAATACAACGGGCAAACACTGAAGATACTGTGAAGTGTGCACTGTGCAATTGGTAAAGGGGCAGGAATGGCTAGAACGTCATTGGAGTATGCGGTTAAGATAAGATTTAAGGGTATTTGTGATATTGGAAGCGAGCTTTGTTTAGTAAGCCGCCTGTATACTGTTCCTTACGACTAGACCATTTTGACCAGTTTCGTCAAATTCTCCGTAATCAGTCCCTCGGCCAACCGATATCCTATGTAGAATAAGGGCAACTTTGTAGGACAGATATCCGTACTCCCGATTCTTGTTACAGGGTGTCCCACAATTATTGCACCACATTGTGAACTTAAATTCTGTGAGTGTTTACGGCTTTTCTCCCAAGATTCGCAAACCTTTCAATCTTCTATCCTATTGTCAATGACCATGCCAAATTCCACGGCTTACCGTTCAGCCTGCATCCCATGGCGCGCCTAAAATTCAACAGAGTCCCTAACCTGTCATACAGCTGGTCCGAACCTCTTGTGATGAGCATCGCGCTTCGTTCGATTTTTAACCGCTCCGCGGCCTACCGCGACTCTTGCCCTCGGATAGCCACGCACGCGCCTGTGGCTGGCAGTCCACGAAATTGCGACTCCCTTCTGACCAAAATGCGACCCCTCGTTCGAACAGTTCGAACGGACGGTTGACCCTGGTGACATCACGTTTGGGGAACACAAAAGGTTAGCTCTGAACGCTATCCTCTTCCGCCTAGCACTCAATGTCAGGTGAAAGAAATGGAGGGACCACACCGAGCTGAACGCAATACAGTAAGTGCTTGCTAGTAGAAAACTGGAGGCTTTGTGCGCATGAACCGATATTCTTCATCGATATCGATCAATACGTCGTGTCAATAGTTCTTGCATCTCCTAATCTAGCTCTGATTATTCGCCTTATCATATGTTTACCCAAAGAACTCTCCCTTAGCCGTGATATCAATTCGAAACATACTCATTGGAATCCTCATCGAGAAAGATAATCGAACTCAGGAAAGCATTACCTATTCAACGTGATGAAAATTCCTCGATCCTATAGAACCACCACTGAACCCATTCCTTGGAAATAGTCTCATGCTCGCCGAGCTAATTTGAGGCGTGCTGTTTCGTGGCATTCGCTCAACCGTGAGGGCTTTATCGCAAACTCTCACACAATACTTGGAGTTGTTGACAGTTCTCCAGATGGTGAGGCCGGTGTCACAGTCCACGATCCGTCGCAGGTTTCGCGCAGATCGCAAAATCGCAAGTTCCCCATTTGAACATGAAACACTGCCTAGGAAACAATTAGAATCATGAACAGTCGTCATTCAGCCATCACCATAAATCAGAAATGACGGCGGGTTTGGAGAGCACCTCGCACTATGATCGGGCACTGTGATTTCTGTGACAAATTTCGCGCGAATCGCGCGAAACCTGCGGGATCGCGTACTCTGACACCATCCTAGCAATAAGTCTTGATACGGAAGCGAAAGCTTTGGCTGGCTTAAATGGTAACAAGGCGATTGCTGGATATAATGTACTTTCTGTTCGAATAATACTTGAGGCCTTACTGCTGTCATCCCCATAAAAGAGTGGATTTACCATAAAAAATATTTCATGCAGCTGAAAGATTGGCCACTTTCACTAAACAGGGTCATAGAATCGCGAATGAACTAGGAGAAAGAAGAAATTTCTCGTTATACTCCTCTTGCCCAGGACGTATTTATACTTTTGAAACAGGGAGAATTTTCAAATTTTCTTATAAAAATGTATGTGTGATACAATAACGGTCAAAAATTCAGAAACTTCTTTTGCTTTAATTGAACGTGGCCAAAAAACAACGAAATAATCTCAAATTCGCTAGATGTGTAGAAAATCAAGTGCAGAATACGATTCGAAACATAATTTCTCTGAATCGACAATCACATATGAAAAACTACGATTTCTTCGAAGAACGTTGGCGCGTTAAGTGTTGGAGTCATTAATTCCTCCTATAAGTGCATGTTTTTGTTAATTTCAGTTTGATTATCTAGTATGATGTATTTTCTGAATGGACTCATGTGAAGGGAAACATCATCTTATTATTACAAGACGAATGAATCCCGAAAAATCAGTTGGAAATCCCGCATGTTTCATTGTAATGAGTTTCAACAGGCTCACTGGTCCCGAAGGGATCATCTACGCCAGTAATCACGAATTCTTGTTGGCACTGTTCCTTTCTTATTTTTCTTGACACTTAGTATTTTTGCATTATTATGTTCATGGATTCACGTTAGCAGTCTTTCTCTTTACCTATGTTACAAAATATCCAGTATTTGAGCATTATTGTATCTATGAATTCATGTTGGCAATCTTTTCTTCTGCTTATATTTCCAGATTCTTAGTATTTGAGCATAATTGTTTTTGTATGTTTCGTTTTCTCGACGATACTTAGTTTTGTAGTTGAGTTCTATTCCTAATACTATTTTCATATTGTAGAGTACCGAGTACTCTTCCGGGTATGCCGCCGGAATCAAATGTGGTGAATATTTCTTTCAGTTTTTGCTTTTTTTTCTGTTTGTTTTTCTGTTATTCATGTTCATTCTATTATTTAGTGTTTGTATGTAATTGCGCTTTAGAAGCATATCCAACAGTCAACAGCAGATGTGCTATCGTCGTTATGCGAAGGACTATCGCGTGAAGAGAGGCGTAAAAAGCTGACGGAACATCTAACCGCAACCCAGAAACAGTATGACGATACGCTGCTAGGCATCGAGAAAACCAAATCACATATCGAAGAAGCTAGAGTCAAGTGAGTTTGTCTTTATTGAACGACAATTCAGAACTGGAGCTCATTGCTCATTGGTCCAGGTCGCTGCTAAGAAGAAGCGATATATCGAGGATATTCCTTTACGACCTTCAGCCACCCTTCCTACCCGTCAAGTTCCCAAACACGACCCTTTTCTTCTGAGCAGGGCAAAAACCCGATCGAGGAACTCCCAGTTGTATGTTCATTCGGCTCACGCCTGATTTCTTACCGAGTTACTCGCAGACTGCACTTTTTGAGTTGGAGCGAAGCTGCAACCCAAACTAGCAACTAAAATGTTGTGAATGGGACTCGTAGTTTTGTTAGAAATTTCACTGTACAAGTTAGTGTATTGCACTCAAAATTTTCTGAAAATCCTGTAAAATATGCGTAAAACCTCCATTTTTCGTGGAATTTCTACAGGGATTCAAATCTTTCCCAAAAAACTCTGAGTTTCAATTAATTCCTCTTCTTACCTGTTTCGGATTCCACTGCCGATTACGCAGAGTACCACCTCCTTTCTAGAGCAAAATACGATCTTGTTCCTCCCACGTTCAAGGAATCGCGGGCGTCAGATTGTCCTAATTTGTAGAGAATTTGAGAATTCGATGCCTATTTCTGCGCAGGATCACCGAGGGTAGGGCAAATAAAAAGGACATTTTGATCATGACACACACCAGCAATTTTTCGCCGCACAGGGTGTCGCTGATTGATGAAAGAAGTTCTGCGACTGTACTCCTAAGAAGTGCCTCCAAAAGGAAAGGCTGCTCTCGCCCTCTTCAGACCTTGAACTCATCCGCTATCACTGTCGAGTTCAAGGTAGCCTACAATAATTGCCCCAGCCTAATGCTGGTACCTAATTTATTCAATCAGAATGCTGGCGAATATTTTCCTGGAGACAGTAGCTCTGAATGCGGAAGGAGGTCGTCACCTAGCTTTTGAAGCAACTTCTTTATGGTTGATGATCCCTCGAGGACAAGTTGAGCCGGAACTGCGCATTGTGTTCCAGTAGAAATTTCTTCTGTTGTCTCCCGAGCAAAAGGCGGAAGGCTGTTCTGAAAATGTTCGAATGTAGTCTCAATTTACAGACGGCATTTGGTTTGACTTCAGAAAAGTCTGGTTATTTCTATTGTGGAGAAAGGGCTTTTCGCCCCACCCGTTGTATTCAGTTCTTCAAAGGGTAGTACAAAAATGTGCCTAGTAGTTACACCACAATGCGGTCAGCATCGCGAAGACGTGACTTTCTTCTAAATTTCGGTTATAGGCTATCAGGAATTTTCGAGTGGACCTGAGAGAAAACGGATCATTGAAAAGATTCTCCGATCAATTTCTAAAACAGCGTTATAATTCTTTTATATCCGTCATTACGACAGTTTTTTTTTCTATTTTGTAGCCAGTTTCTACCTTAGATCTTTCATTACGAGCTCTTCCGATAGTCTTACAGTAGAGGAGCGCCCTAGAGGGAAGATGCAGCAATCAATTCGGGAGGGAGCCCCTGCGGTACACAATTGAATCATGCTGCCCAAATTTTCCCTTCTTAAACTTGTTTGTTGATTGTCATCTGGAATATTTCTTGTAGATATGAAAATATGGACGACATGATTCGTACACTTGATCAGTTGAAGTGCAGTTTGGAGCAGCATATTCGAACTGTGAGACTGAATGAGAGTTCGTTCGCTGGAACGTCGGCTGTTCTCGAGTACGACACAGCAAAAACACGTACTAACAACCTAATTAGCGTTATCAAGGTGGGCTCTTTTCTTTTCACTTCCCTTAATTCTTCCCAGCCTATCCTTTCCACTTGTATGCTTCTAGGCCCGCTCACAATGGGATCGAGCGAAAGAGGTGCTGAAAGAAGATGGGAAGGACGATCAACAGAAAATGTATGAAAGCCTTGCTGATATGCAGGCTAGTCAAGACACCTTGTCCAAGGTTTGTTTATTTCACTGCAACCTATTTTGTTTATTATTTAGTTGAAGAGGAATTCATTCAGTTCGTCTCGCAAGGATTCGACACGAAAGAGTTTGAGGAACTGAAGGACCGTTTTCTTGCATGGCAAAGTGCCGCATTGATTTTCGCCATTCAGCAAGCGGATTTTGAAAAGTTGGCTGAAATTCAGAAAACCTATGAGAGTCTTGGACGTAAAGACGGTAAGTCCTGTTTGGTTTATCGCTTTCTTAACTCCCCGTTTTATATAGTGATTTGCATTTGGTTATTTATAGAGTTCATCTCAATTTTCCGTCGCGTATCGATCAACAGATTACGAGAATTCTCATCCGATGGTCCTTCGATTCAATCAATAATTGATGCTTTGTACAAGGAATTGGAATTCGCTTTCAATCACCATCATAAGTAAATCCATTTGAGTTTATTTTTGGGTTTCTTCGGCATTCATGGTGCATATTTTATGTATGCATCATGGTTTAAACAACTTATTCTTTTCAGTAATTTATAAAAGCGAACTTTTGCATTGCTTCTTCACGCTGAAAGAGTACCGCATCTTAACTCTCCTTTTTATAATCTGTCTTAAACTCTACCTTTTTAAATGTGCATTCAAGAAAGATTTAGATTTTTAGAAATTCAAGAATTCTTCGGAGCGTATTGAGGATAATGGCAACAGATTTGTCTCTCAGTCTGTAGTCTCATCTTTTCGTATCCTAGCCTATCTACATTACCATAGCGTTGTTATTTCCTTGAAGGTACATCCTAGAATGAAGCCAGGTGGACTAATCTATTCTTTGAGTAGTGTCGAGGCACTTTCAAAGGTAGAGAATGTGCTATTTTACTGTTTCAAAACACGCGTGAGGTGCGCTAGGGCCCTTTCACGACCGAGTGACCGCTCGTCTTTTTGTTCGCGAAGCGGTAAACGTACCACTCTCTCTTGCCACCTATTATGTTCTGTCGCTTGGCGCGCAGTCTATTAGATTATCTGACTTTGCCTTTCTTACAAATGCATCATCACCAAACAGGAAAGGTGCTTGTATCAGTGTTGTTTGTGATTTTCTTCTCTTGGTCTCTATTTTCATTTTTTTGACGAGCAGTAGGGGGATGTTTCGATGCAACAGTATCTGCTGCCTGAAATATTCCACTTTTTGCAAGGGAGCAAGCTCCGACGTAAGTGTGAAAGCCAAAGCGAAATCGTTTGGGCACCTTGGGGATTTCCTCCGTCGCAAAAATTGGCATGACTGGAGGCTTCACGAAATTTTGCACCGCATGCCCCCTTATTGGGATATGCTATGACCAGATTCGTTGTCATGGAGTGCACTCCTGAACGCTAATTTAGCTAAATGTTCAACAGCAGTTTGCGGCTCCAAAGTCTAATTTCAGTCCAAGCAATTTTCGTGAGCATCAAACTTTTGTTGCATATTTGAGCTCCCATGAGGCTTCGGAGCAGAATTATACTTCGCACATTTATTCAGGGTTCTTCGTCGATTTCTCGATGACGATGCAGCCTCCACCGTGCTTTCAGAGGCGATTCAAGAGGGCTTGAGTGAGCTGAACCTTTCTGGTCCTTTCTCGACAATTACATCCTCTGATGAAAATCCAATTGAGCTTCTCCAGAAAACTGCACAGGTGACTTCCGCTCATTCATAGTTTCATTTCAGATTTGAGAGTGACTATGCGGATATTTTCACAGAATTACGGTGCTATTTTTCTGGCTTTCAGTTCCTAGCCACACGTTCCGATGCTTCATCAAAAATCCCATATCTTGCTGGTATTTCACAACAGTTGAGAACAGAAATAGTGCACGATCTCATCACACCTTTTCGCAGTGCCTTAACCGGATATGCGTTATCAAAGATCAATACAATTGATCTGGTCAGTTTGAGTATCTATTTTTTTTCCAGTATTGTCTTCGCCGAAGCACGTCTATTAGATTATATTAGATTTCATAAGTACCCATGTCCAGCACAGAAGGAAAAGCGTCAGAATTATGGCGCTCATGGCGTAGAGAAAGGGGAGACGACACTCAAAATAGGGCCGATGGTAGGTGGCACTACGACTAAGCTTAGGGTTGGGTCAGGCAGAAAAAAATTGCCCACATTCTTCTCTAAAATCCTGTCCACTCCCTCAGGCTTAGTCCCCAGGCCCCATGTACTGTAAGTGGCCCCTCACTATGTCCCTAACCCCACTCCCCCCTCCAACGACGTGAGCGCTGCAATTTGAATAGAACTTGGCTGCATAACACTTGCTTGCAAATTTACTTTTGGATTGAGCACTCCGTCTTTAACCACACGTTCTTGACTTTATTTTTTGATACTTCATTTAGTTTACGTTTCATTGAAAGTCCATGCTGCTTTACATGAGCTAGCATGGTCTTCTTGTTATCCCGCGAGTTTCCTTTTGCTGCAGTTTGACCAGCATAATTGTTGTATTTTTGTAATTATTGCTATTCTTGTATTACTACCCTGTAAATTATATGTTCTATCGTTTGCTCATTACTGTATGTGCTTTTACCTTGTTCAGACAAGCGGCTCTTTCCGAGCTCGAGTGGAGTCACTCAAAACGGCCATTGTTGAGCTCCTCCACCTTCTCAGCGATATCTTCGTTCACAGTGAAGCTCTTTTCGGTCATGACGTGAAAAAGGTGGTACAACAACCAATAGATGTGAGTGTGTATAGTTTCGACAATCCTTTTCAGTGTTAGTTTATTGTGTTTGTTCGTGATAGTCCGTAGCTTGAAAAAATCCTCATCGATTTATCTTATGACGAGCTGGTAAAAAGATACTGAAAAAATGGAGGGGTTGGCGATTAGGGTATTCAGTTGAAAAAAAATTCAATAGAATTCGAGTTATTTAATCAGAGTCCTCGATCCTTATTCATTTCCGATCAATATGTCTAAGGAATGTATGGAGAATATTGCGAAAAAAAAACAATGAGAAGTGTGATTCGTAGCGCTCTGACTATTCTTTGGATATCCTCGAGCGCTCTGAATAATAGTCTAGGGTTGACAATTAAGGGAACTTTTATCAATCGCACAACTCTGTTTGATGAGTTTTGTTTTCAGAAATGCCTGGACAACTTTTTGGCTAGATTAAAATCCTGGGAATATGGAATAGACAGCCAGCGACGTCCCCGTTCGCTCGAAGATGCTATTGCGGTGTGTTCAGCCTCCGGTCAGCTAGTGTTCGGACTGCAAGAATTCAAAACGATGGTGTCAAATGTGGAACGTAAGAATTTCATCCCTTATAAAGCTCGATCATTTATGATTTTTCAATCGCGTTTTTTTTTTGCAGCAACACTTTCTCCTAACATCAAATCTGCTTTAAAATGGAATAGAGGAGTTTGTGATTTTGTGATGAAGTCGGCCATTGATCGGGTGGTTCCGAAGATGACGTCAAAGATGGAAGAGATTGTAAGATTTGTGGTTCTTTTTAGTTGGAGATGTGTATGTAATTTTTAACAGTGTGCGTGTACGCGGCATTTAGTAGCGTTTATCGGAGTCCATTGACTTCGATAGCTCATGACAGTTTGCATTAAGCAAAAAGGGGAGCGAGCTGCTGCAAACTGCATTTTAGTGCTCGTTAGAACAGTATTTTACATGAGAAAGGAAAGTTGCGGCCATCTAAGTTTCTTAATTTCAGAAAGCGAAAGCCTCGAAAGATGCTCGTGTGACGAACCTCCCGGCATTCAGCACTTCACCTCACGAGTACATCACAACGACTGGGCAGGCAAGCACTTCCTTGTTGCTTCAGTATTTTTTAATAACCGCGGGTAGTGATTTTACTACTAATCTCATTTGGTGTCTTGGTCATTTAAGACTAATCATGTTCGATCCATCACGATTAGACTTGGGAGTCTCGGACCTTGGGACGCAATTTATATTGCAGTAGTTTTCAGTGCTCAATACTTATGCATCTCAGCTCGTATGTAGGTACACATGGGGCTTTATAGCCCGCTTTAGGCTGCAACTGTGATTTTTTTCATATTTCTAATTTGCATGTTTTTTTTCTTTCTACTTATCTAATAAGCGGCTCAACTAGTCCTCGGACGCTCATGTGGCTGCAAAAAGTGGAACCTGCGCGGTTCATGTGAACATTCCAATTGTAGGAGCTGCTGCAATTGTTCCATCGTTGGGAACAGTTTTTCTTGGACGACAATGTTGTGCATTCGTTCTATATTGCTCTGAAGAAAAAATTCGAAGGTATGCTCATTAGATACGTTTCTTTATTATTTCACATTTAAGTAGAATTGCATCGATTCTGATATTCCTTAAGGCGATGAGTTGTTCAAGAAAACTGTAGCTGATGTGGCCAACAGCGTCATTGCTAGTTTCGTGTCAACTGTCGGTGATCCATCTTCCTTTTCGAAAGACGTCGCTAAGCAGTTCTACGCTGACGCTGGTACGTTACACTTTGATGGAAATTTGTCTGATGATTTTTTAAACTCCCTGTTTTGGTGTGTGTAGTTTTTAGTGAGTGCAGTACCATATAACATAGCAATTCCCTGAGTGTCCTGGTGGTGTAGATTAGTATGAAAAGTATTAATGTGCACGACCTATAAACGTATCTGCCGAAGAAGTTACCGGTAAATTTTATTCGTACGGTCTCATCTCTTCACGCGTTCGGTTGGCAATAAAATTCACCGCTTAAAATGTTTTTGTGAAGCTTTCAATAGCAAGAGTCTCCTTTCAATAGCAAAAGTGATCTCATCCTTCATCTCGAATTCCCTTCCGCAGAAAGCACTGAGAACGGCCCAAAACACATCGGGTACAGGAGCCAGGGCTGTAAGCCACCTTATGACACCAACTGACCCAGGATGAGTTAGAGAAGGCCGCTTCCGGTCCAGGACTGTTGATCGGGGTGACTGCAATCAATCAAGCTCTCGGAACCTCTAGCTTTGTTCTGGTATTGCGCCAGTTGCAGTAATCCACGAAAAAAATCGAGACGAAGTATCAGGAACAGAAACTCTCCGACTTTTTTTGGGTCTCAATCCCATCTCCCTGGTAGGACGGAATGGACAAGTTACCCGGATGTTTTCGTCGAATGGTAGACGGGGGTAGCGTTGAGTTCCAGGCTGATTCGCTCTTGGAACTTTAACAAAGTGTGGATGTGAAAAGCTTACCAACCATTGTAATTTCGCATTGTGAGTCCTGTCACGTTTTTAGTCTTTCTTATTTCATGTTAAAGCAAGAGATTACGATAAAGTGCGTGTGCAGCGTGGAAGTACATGCACCATTGGAAGCAGTAGTCAGGGGCCCAAGGAGACGAAATGTTGCGTTTTGTGGTCATAGGTGCGCTAGTTGCAGCGTACAAGGCTTGCTATTCCTTTCTGAGCCCTGCCATGGTCTGTGCTCCGCCCCCAGCAGCAGCGCCCTTCGATCGCCAATGTGACGAGATATTCCACTTCCAGAGTGTGTCCTATAACTTTTCATGGGATGCGTGATCCAAAGCATGATGCTTGCTGAAATGATCGAGGCTATCAGCATAACATGTGCAAACGGCCTCCTAATTGGTTGCTAGCTCGTCCATTATCGGAGGTCAACGGTCAAAGAAAGGGGTCCCATTTTGCACCTCCTTGACGGATTTCTTTGCTTTTTCCGCCACTGGGGCATTATTCAGCATCTCCACTTCCACCATGAACCCAGTCCAAACTTATCGTAATCCCTCGCTTTAACTTCTCAGATTTGTCTTCAAATAATATCTGATCCCCTCTCTAAGGTTCCTTTTCAACACCTTGAAGCCCATGCAGCCCATATGTGGCTGCAGTCCGTCGACCACCTAGGACCTTTTAGCCATATTTTGGATGCGAATGCTAAGTTATTCTTTTGTTTTCTTTTCTGTTTACTTCACATAATTGTTGAAGTTTCCACTGAAGCCCCACGCGGCCGCAAAACGTAGAAAATGTGCGGTTTCCAACGTGCCATAGGAAAATTTCGTTGTCCGAAAACGATTGTTTGAAGTTACATGCTTAATGCTCTTTCGTTTCAGTTTTCCTCAAGGATGCTTTCGAGGATTTAAGGACTGGAAACGTTGAGCAGCTGGAAGCCTTAGAGGTGAAGCTCAAGAATGTTCTCAAATGAGTTTTAAATTAATCCGAAATCAAGAAGAGGCGATGTAACGGGATCCTGATTGAAGTACATGTAAGAATTTCTATGACGGTTTTTCATTGTGTGATATTTATTATACTGGGTAATACTAATTTATTATGTGAATTGTCTTCGCGCTGTTGCTGTGCTGCTAAAGATGATCTACAGTATCACTGTTTAAATGTGAGAATGAACATGTTGAATTAGATTTTTTTGACTTTCATGTAAGTTTTCACCAGCTGCTTATTTTTTACCGGCCTTTTCAAATTACTGGTCATTAGGGGGGAGGGGTGGGGGCATAGAGGAAAGAGGGCGGGGCGGGAGGGGACAGTTTACGATATTTAATGGAGTAATGCTATTTTTCGGTGCACAAAGTTCTCAGGCTCCCAAACAGCTCGTAGCGCACTGAGCTTTGGTGATCTGTACTCGTCAAGTGCCGATCATGTGTGCAGTAATTTGAGGGTTTCGCGAGAGGGTTTACGTAGCGTGGAATTTATTGCTCAACGCATCTCAGGCATTTCGTGTACACCTCCATGCCGCGAGAGATGAAGGGTGTTAAGTCTGGAAGGAAGGTGAGGGAGGCGTTTCTGGTGGATGATCGTGTTTGTCAGCATGATTGTCGATCAGGCGCTACTCGGGAACCTCCAAGCACCCAGTTGCCAGAAGTCGAGTGGCGTAGATTTTGTTTTGTTTTATTTATGCAACAACTGTGTACCTCAATCTCACAATCAGTATTGTACCCTGAGAGCTGTAGATATTTCGTTTATTAGCAGTCGAGACAACAGATGTAAAAATTATGCGTCAAAAATTACAAGTAAGCGTAATTTTACATGGTAATGGCATCGAGAACGTTTGCAGAAAAAATCACGAATTCGTAAAAATTATTTTTGAGTCAGAGATCGAGGCATGTGACACAGAATTTTGTCAGATATGTTCTAGGGACGCAATTTTACATAATTCCGAGGCGATACATCAAGTTAAACCCAATGGTTTAATAGGGCATACTGGTTGCTCGGTTGATAGTTGACATCGCACCAGATATCTGTTACTGGGGCGGCGCAAGCCCCTCCCACTAGGTCTGCTCAAGGATCAGTTGGCGAACGCTGAGCCATTCAGACCCCAGAAAATGCTCATAGCTAATGCTATAACAGCGATGCCACCAGTTAAACCAACAAGCACGTACGCTTGCTTGTGTTCTAGTTTAACTAAGTCATGCTCACCAGAAAAGTAAATCATCTGCAGCTCTGTCAAAGGTGTCATAACTGAGAACCACATCGTGTCCTGAAGTGGTGGACACTCTTCGGTGGCGTTTGGAAGGAGGAGATCGATCAATTCCCACACCTACAAGAAACTCCAATAAGATTCAGGAAATGGGTTATGATTAAAACAGAATAAATGAAAAAAAGCTAATGAACTCATTTCCTGATCAGTTCGTCAAACAGCATTTAGTCCATGTGCATGTATCGGCCCTTAAACTGAATTCGCACGTAGGCTCAAGAATAATCTCTGATTGGTGGGTGACAAAGGTAACCAATAGCATGCACCGTTCCCCATGTCCTTACTTACATTATGGTGCCAAATTCCTAGGGAAGGGTAAATTTCCGTACCGTATGAGGTGTGTAGTCCTGGAATTGGATACTGTAGCTGTACTGATGCATGAGGAACATTTGTTGGCATTGCGATTCAACCAACAGAGGAAGGCGTTTATAGAGCACCACACTCATCGCTGCTGGCAACGGAGCCGATAGATGAACTGGTCGCACTCCAGTGTACATATGAGCAGTTCTGTAATAGTTAGTAACGTTATGTTAAAATTCACGGCCCATGAATTGCCAAAGGAATGTCATAGGAGTTCGAAAAGTACTCTACATGCACAACAAAGTGCAGTCTCCAAAAGGACCTGCAAGCATTTTCAGTTTAGTACGATTAGCAGGGTAACAAAAGAAAGGCGAGAAATCGTGGCAACACCCTCCCCCCTCTGCTGCTAATATGACTCATAAATTACGATCCCACAACACACCACAGTCTCCGGGTTCTACTCCCACCTTCCGGAAGTGCACCGCCAGTTCCACACAATATGATCCTTTTCTGGTGAACCAGATCGGTCAACTCCCTGTCGAGAAATGTCAACGTTGTTTAACCCTGATATTTAGATAGACCAAGGGCTGCTGTTCTAACCTGTTCCCGAATTCATCTCATAATGAGTCAAATTATTCAAAAGTGATTCTGGTTCGAAGCAATGATCACAATGGCTGGAGGGCGGCCCGGTCTTGATGACGTCATTAAACGTCATTGGTGGAAGAACGTTGAGAGGCGGTCTCAACCCCATCTGCCAATGGCGTATAAAGACGTCATCAAATCGCACTGCTTTACAGCCATCAAAATCATTTCCTTCAAAAATTCGAAGGCTATCCCACAGGAAACTTGTGTATAGCCTTTCAGCTTTTTCAGTCAAACAAAAGGAATTTGAACTAACCGGGCCACAGAACCCCAGTATGGCAGCGGGCACTGCCGCTCATTATTAACGAACACCAGTAGCTTTTCAGTGCAATTCGATGTACTGGTAATCAGATCGTCAAGTGCGGTCACGTTTTGAGGTGTTTCGATTTTCACATGGTCTAGGGAGACGATCCATCGCGACACAGACTGCTGAAAGAGACCCTTTTCATTAAACGATTCATTGGTATCGCCTCAGATGAACAATTGCGTAAGTTTTGTAACTGCTTTATTCATACTTCTATTACAATATAAATACTTACTATATCCCTACAATTTGCAGATTAAACGAGGTGAACGCAATGCGTTGCACTTGAGCGCATGGACGCGTAGCGATTGGCGCTACTAATACACGCCGGATGCGACGACCAGTCTGCCGCCTTCGACTGATTTTGTGTGGATAACAGAGAAAGTAAATATTAGGTTTTAAGGAAAATTCTGGCCGTTTCCGATAGTTCAAGCTCATGGCATTACTTCTGGCTAAGCTTTCGGAAAACTGCTACGCGTTGCATATCTTTAAGAAGCGCGTTTCTTGCTCCATCCAAATATGTAATAATCTTTGGCCCAGAGGGACTACTTCTTCTTATTTAAAGCCCTGAATGCAACATGCTCATCAAGCGAATCCTCACAATTTTCTTCTTCTGCCTCAAATTAGGGCAGAAAGGAGCGGAATCAGCTCACGATATAAACTATTCGTTTGGCCACGCATTTGCGCGAAGAAGTCATGAAGTGATACTTTGGAAAGCTTGTGCAGGGATGGCGATAGCCTCGAAGTTGGCGAGAGTGATCGCTGGATGTCGAACTTCGGTAAAAATTACCTGAAACATTTGATGGAACCACATGTGCTTGAAACAGAAGAGAAAACTGTTACCGAATTGAGCGTATATGGTTTGTGGTTTCAAGTCACATGGGATAGCTAAAAAGCACGGAAAAGTCCATAAGGTGTCACGAAAAATTGCGGTTCCGCAGGGCCGTCTGCCTTCCTCCTCATTCTTTCATCCAATGAAAACGACCAGTGTTTGCTCGGATTGTGAGTTGTGAATGTAGAATGGATTCTTCTCAATATCCTGCGAACTTCGGGTGGGTAGTTCGATCACGACTAGGGTCAACAAATTTTGCAAAGATGAAACTGCGCGAGGAGAAGGTTGTTCCGCTTGTTACGCGGTCTACAGCAGCCGCAGCTTTTCGAGCACAGGCAGAACTGTATAGTGGGACAATATTCTTTGCATGGTGTCGGATATCCCAAAATCCTGACGCTTGCGCTCAGCAAGTTCTGCCATAAATGGGCCGCCCCTTTCGCGAAGCACCTGAGCCGTTGACCGCAGCAGCGACCCTGCAAAAAGGAACTAGCTCAAGTACTGAACTATGCCCCAGACGTCCCACTCCCTATACCTCTTCCCTATTCACCGCCACTTTTTCAACGATCTGGATAGCACCTTAAAGGGGGAATGCTACGAAATCTAACATGATGATGAAACGACCTTCGCCGAGTTCATCGCCTCTAGAACTCCTGCTGTTCCCGTGAACGGATTGATCAAACACATGAAATGTTTGCAAGGAAAATGGATCCGACAGGGTTTTATCGCGACCGCAAGCGTTGCATTTACGTCGAGACATGCACATTTGAACTCCAATGTCCGAAACGGCCAGAACTTTCCTTACAACCTAATAGTTCTACCACGAAAAGCAATTATGAAACTTACCCGACTGGTAATATTACCAGTGAAGTAAGTTGGTGTCTTAGCTATGATATAGACAAGTGCTGGAAACTGCTCGATTTCTGCTTCATCAAGGAACGGTAGCGGCTGAAATAGATCAGATTTGAAACCACAAACATGTCAGAATTGTGGATCAGCTGTTTACCCGTTTATATGTATAGTAATGGTACCCGATTAAATCGCTTCCATGATAGTTTCTGTCTTCGTTAATGTCCCGTACCCATTGCGGTATCTGAACACACGTGAAATTTTTAAGAAGCCTTTTGGATTTCCTATAAACTTTTTGAGCCATAACCGGCACGGTTTTTAGTTTGCCTTTATTTATTTGACATTCCTTGCTTAATATTTGAAGCTATTGCTGCTTAAAGGCACGCTCCGCGATTAGGCGGGCTCGCCTGTTCCATCCAGGACGTGGTAGGCAGGTGGACAAGTGTTAATGTCGTGCCTCTTTTGCCGCTCGAAAGTGCGCGACAAAGGCGTAAGCAGCTCGTTCGATCCGCAACGCACACCTTCGTCCGCAAGCCCCACCCTCCTCTGTCGTTTGCCACGTGGCGCTGCTTGGAAAGCGCGGGCGCATTTCAGGCAGCGGTCCAATCGGGATCCAATGTCATTGGCACTGGAGCAAGTAGAGTTATTAGGTTCGTGAAACTCGTCCAAATCGCCTCTTCTCTATCCCAAGGTGGGATGTGGCTGGAATAGAGGAGGTCTCTGTACGGGGCGTAATCGGTGATTTCGTTTGCTTTCCTTCGTTTTTACAGATCACCTCCCACCTATAGCTTCATACCTAAACGCTTTTCCACACCTATTTTATCCCGAATCTTGCCTTTAAGGGGGGGGGGGCAATGGTCGTTCACCGCGGAAAGTATTGCGTGGTCAGCAGTGAGTGTGAAATCAGCTGAGTATGGTCCATTGATTGCCATATCCACTGCTGGCTGGTATGTCCGGAAAACTCCCTCGTTTAGACACACTTTCTTCTCAAGCCAGCCCCTTTCGATGCTGTTGAGAGCCGATTTTATTTCCAGCACTATCGACGGTCTTCCCGTTTTCTCTTCCGTGGTGTTCTATCTTCATTTCTGCAATCATTTTCGAGCGCAAAAATACCCCAACTCGGTCTCAACCCTTGACTCGATCCCAACAGATTTTTAATTCTCAACCTCTTCCCTGGCATGTTGTCCCATGTACATACAAAGTCGTAGAATGAACTGCACAAATGGGAAAACCCTGGAATGGGCAATTTCAGGCGTACTGTGAACGTGTACCTCACGTAGGCAGCCGCTTGCAACTAGAATTACTACCACATTTTGAAGCTGAGTTCAGCGATCCATATATCAACCGATGGCATTCTTGAGCAATGCACCCCTGCATGGCCGAGCGCAGCCGAATTAGCGCTCAAAGGTAATCGTAAGAAGCGTTCCACAAGATCAGGAGTACCATTTTTGATATATGATAATTGTTGGTAATATTGATAAGTGTAATATATTGAGGTAAGAAGGCCCACCCATGATCGAAGTCTCGGACAGTACCGCCGGCAAAGCAACAGCACTAGCCGTCCGTATTCTGTACGTTGTTCTACAATGGAGCTAATACGAAGAAATGCCTTGTCCTGTAGTATCTGAAACGAGCAGCATTAGAAGGTTAGTGGCTAACCTCGCTATTTACTCCACAGGCCAAATCGCGTTCATGTGTCCCTAGCACTGGGAATAGAATGCATGGCGCGTCAAAATGTGTTTACCAGAGTCCTGTGCTTTTCTGCTTCACTGATCAGAGTACCGGTATCAATAAATTCGGGGCCACGCCCTAGGACCACCAAATATGGGCAAAACAGCGTCAATCAAGATTTTATAGCCGATTTTTTTTACTTACATCCTTACTTCCTTCTTCTCAAATATTTTGTGTCTTTTCGAGATCGTTTTCTGAATCGGAAATGCTTAAAGCGGCCATGCTTTGGAGGATAGCCTTCATTTTGACACTTGTTTGAATTATTTGATTTGTTTATTTAGTTGCGCCAAAATTGGTCTGCCTACGTCATATACACCAAGCGAAATCAACGAAACAAAGAAATAAGGTGGTGAAAATGGTAACCCCACATAAGCTTAGGCTTTTGATTTTGATTTCGCATTTTTTGGGGATTTCGGTTGCTAGGTTGGTTTAAGCAGCTTTCATGCTTTGCGCCGGTGCGAACAGTGCGGAAAATACGAAAAGCACCAATATAGAAGGCTGACGCACGCTGTTTAGCGCGCTGTAAAAGGTAGTTCATCAAGCGAACGTCAGCTTTTCAGTCATGTGCCAGCATCTTCCCCTGACGGTCTTTGCAATTTTCACAGTGTCCGCAGCATCCGCACCGTCTGTGCATTCAGCGCCGGCGCTAAATATGAAAGCAACGCTAAATTTCCTGCAAAGAGTAGGACAATAGTGACTTTTGACGCGGCTATCAAAAATTGGAAGGATCATGAAATCTTGAATCCTGTGATGTTGCTCAAATTTAAGATGCATATGTGGTCATTATGGTGTAAAAAAGTAATAACCAATATAAATACAAAAAAACTGTTTTGCAAATCCCGAAATCTGAAAGAACACCCGGTATAAATGCTATAAGACACAAGAAAAGCTGCGTCAACACTTATTTCGCCCACCTGACACTTGTTCTGAAGAAAGGCTCCTCCGATATAATGGTTCTGTTACAGTAATTACAATCAGCATACTAATCCTTAATAGCATCCTGTATTTCGAGAAGCTTTTCACTTAAAAATTTCATCGGAATCAAATGACCTGAAGAGAAGCATTTTGAAATGAACGGTAATCGGTAACTTTTAACTGCATAGCGGACAATCTGTTAGGCTATCAGAGGCATAAAACACGGCTATAGCGAATGAAATCCGTGAGGATGAGCTGTGAGAAATGAGTTGAATCGGATTCGAATCATACGAAAAGAGGGCACGCGTGTGCTGCAAGAATTACACTGCACCGACTAACATATGCCACCACGGGTTTTTCAAAAAACGCACGGTTCGTCTCGCATTCGTCAACACTTCTGAGAAAATTATGAACAGTTCTTATGCCGTTTTCAGCCCTTGTATGAGTAACCATTCAATCTTACCAGCATCATGAACTTATATCGTACTTGGCCTCATAATCGTAGTATTTGACGCAAATTCATGGCAACGCTGAAGGCACTGAGCCAAAAAAAGAAGCTCAAAAGGATGGGGGAAGAGTGTGTCCCAGGTTCATTAATCGCTTTCTGAGAAAATTTGAGAGACCCTAGCTCCTCGAGTGTAACGTTTTTTGAACAATTTGAATATTGCCGGGTAGTAGCGATTTCAGCTCTATCTAATCGGATACATGGCCTATACCGAGACGAGATCGGACGATGACACTGCCCCTTTTATGTCGCTCATGTTGGGAGGATTCATTCTAGACAATTTCGATATTTGCCAACGAATTAACTTGCAATAGTGAAGAAGGGAGCAGCTTTTCAGGTGGCCAAGATCCATCCTTGATAGATCCTCGACGCAAATATCTCCTCAACTAGAAAATGTGGAAGAAAGCTAAACAGGCTGTTAGGAAGCGCAAAGCTTCCGGTTTCCAGAACTATCCTCCTTTTTTCGAGATCTTACGAAGTTAGGGAGATATTGCCTTTCAAGTGGCAAAAACTCGCACGAAATACCCAGCATCCTCGACGCTCCCTCGACAAAATTTGAGAGACCCTATCTCCTCGAGTGTAAAGATTTTAGATCAATTTCAATATTGCCCGCTAGCATCAAATCCAGCTCTATCTAACCCTACCACACACTATTCCAACGGTTGTGAAGTGGGGGGAATGGAACCTTTTCATCGAGAGTGTAGATTCCGATGGTTTCGGCGAGGTTTCGGCAAATGTGACCAACGGACAAACCGCGCTGCAACTGAATGCTTTGCTGTACATCAATGGAACTCGCTTGTTCACATCAAATCAAAGTTTAAGGGATCGTACCAAGTCCCCGATGTTAGGGGGGTCGTACTGAAGTGACCTTCGACACGATTTTCATCCTGCTTGTAACAGCCTAAATCAGCTGTATGTTGACCGGTCTTTGATGTTGACCGTGGAGCAGCTTATCTACTATTGAAATTCGAACAAATATTCAAATGATTGTAACTTTCTTCAAATATGACGAATTTCAATCTCAAAGCAGATTTGGAAGTATTGTAAGAAGCTCTTTCTAATCAGTATTGAAAGTGCGAAAATTGACAAGAAATAACAAGTTTTGATTGATTAACAAGAAAAATTCGTAACGAGCGCGAGTTTTTAAATTTTCTGAGGCTATAACTTGCTTCATTTTTGTCATGTCTGAAAAGTTAATATGGCAGACAAAACTAGAAGAATTGCTCTATTTGAAAACTACTAAAGCAGCTCAGTATGTCTAGTATTTAAAAAATGGCCACATGAGGATTTTTGCAAAAATTAACGAGGAAAATTCGTGATGAGCGCAAGTTTTCACATTTTCTAAAGCTATAACTCCCTCCAAACCCGTCCTTGAAAAATAAATACGTCACCATAAACATGAAGAATTGCTCTATCGAACGATTACTAAAATAGCTTAGTATGTCTAGTATTTAAAAAATGGCCACGTTGAAGGTTTTTGCCCGGTTACCGCCGAAAGGGAATTTTCGCTGCACTGGCACTAGTTCACCTACTCACCTACTGCAGCTCCTTTCAAGGGCGATTATGTATCAAAGCAGGGGCAGATTCGGGATCCTCTTGCTTTTCTCTCTCCAAGAAACGTAAAATTGGCCCACCCAACCAGGAGAAAAGTTCTGCTGGGGAGTCCTCATACCTCGCCAGCTTAAAGGCACTTTTTGGATGAGTTAGTGTGAAATACGCTCAATAATGATGTTCGGAATGGACCGAGAGCGAAGTGATCGGTTTTTTGCATCTAGTGCAGGAAGCCACTATTGTATTATGTGCCTCTATGCTCAGGATCCTTACCCTTTTTATACGGCCCCTCCTCGTGGATTTCGCGCCGCATGCTTGATCCTGCTACGAACCTAGTACAGCTCTTCGGGGACACGACTAGCATATAGCAACTGAACGTTGCTCCTTCGTGGGCACCTCATGTATACGAAAGACATCTGACAGGATGGAAAATCACAGTTTACAGGCTCTGCAAGTTGTTTAGTAAGTCAAGAAAGGGTGCCCGTGACTTGAAATGCAAGGACTCAGATAGAGTGGTGTATTTAGAATAACTGGGCACGTTACACCTCTCAACTCCTCATCCTTTTCCATTCATAGGTTTACCTTTTTGATCAGAGACGTCAACAGATTGGTCGCTCGCGGAGTGTTTTTACTCGCTAGTAACCGTTGTATTAGGCGTTTTAGAAAGTTCTGTCATTTTCCAACCCCAAACTTTAAATGCATGTATCTCGGATTGAACTGAACATTTCAAGTCTATAAGAAGCCATTCGAACGCGCGGACCTTTTTCTATAAGCAGCCGTCTTACTGGGTACGTTTGTTCGGAATGCTGGAGCAGTGGAGGCGATAAACTGGGGGAGGGTCCTTTTCGCATCATGTTGGGTTTTGATACATTTCTCTTCAAGGAAGGTATCGAGATCGTCAGAAATGTGACAGTAGATAGACCAAAGACGAGAGCGATAAGTAAGACGCTCGCAGAATCACTCTGAAGTCCAGCTGGTCCATCTTGTGAAGGGTTGGCGATGCGATGTGCGGCCAAGACATCTTCTAGGGATGTATCCGTCCCTTTATAATGAAGAATGCTGGACACATGTCTTAGAGTTTTTGGTGAATTTTGACGTAATGTTAGGACTGCTTTTCTACTGTGACGGTTCCAGGTTATACGAAAGATTATGGCCGGCCGCTGACCTGATGAAAGTTGCCATAACCCTCCTTCAGCACAGTTTAAATTTTGCACAGTTTGGAGAGCTCGATCGCCTTCGATCTATTCAGCAAAGCTTCGAAGGCTGAAGAGAAGAATTCGCTCTTCATTCCACGCTGCAAACCTGTAGAAAAACGAGTCGCTATTATCACATAAAACAAGCTAAAATTTGATGGAAGACCCTCCAAATTGGTGATTTGTCGCGCCACGCCCCCATAAAAATTTTTGGACTTTCCAGCTACTTCCTTATAGATTGGCTCTACAAACCATATACGCCCAGGTTAGGCAGCACCTCCTCAATGGTCCTGTGCAAGAGTGCTTCAATCAGGACTTTTGGCTAACCGGTGGCAACGGCCACCTCCTTCATCATGCCCAACGCTCACGCTTTCGTAAATTAAATTTTTGAACGACTGCTTCCGAGCACATTCATTAGGAATCCAGGCGAAGTGCATCGTTAATATCTTCAGCTGTTCCCGCTACTTTTAGGTCTATTTGAAGCCAGGAAAAGAAAGTCATGCCAACTTGCTCATCAAGTATGCCGCATTCAAAGCTTTGAAAAACCTTTCAGAAAATGTTTTAGGACAAAGCTAAGCTAAGCTTGGGATAGAGCAGGAAAAGCCCTTCAAATCGGCATCCATACCAATTGCATTTCTTCTGGATTTCAAGGAAAATGGAGCATCCAAAAGTGGAGGGTCAAAAAACAACAGAACTTTTTGAAACGTCTAATAGTTGAAATTGCTACTTGTGGATTTCTTGCAAATAATTTGAATTTACGAAGAAAAGAGGTCGTGATCAAGTCGTACACTTCAATTGAAAGTTCTAGTCTTTTTCAGTTGAAAATAGCTCATGGTAAGAACAACAAAGAGGTTCCGCAGGATAGGCGGTTCTCAGGAGCTCATCAAGTGCTCGTATCGTTCCAGAAGTCCATGAGTACTGGTGATTCTAAAAGTAATACAGTACATGTAGAGCAGGCTGGTTAGCTGGTCATCGCCCCAATCATGAATTGGGCCGCCTGTTTTCATTGATTCGGCAGAGTCTTTCTGAGTGGACTTCGCTCCCGTGTGGTTTCTGTTTTTTCAAGTTTATTTATAGTAGCTCCTCATTCATTTCTTGAGCCACCTTAATTCGTAGTTCTATAACTATCAGTAGTGGCTAAAGATATCCTTTTTGGTCATTCTTGGCTCGGACGTCTGAAGACGGGTAAGGCTTGCTTACGAAGATACTGCATCCTGTTCCTTAATCGTCGAGTACTGGCTAACTGCGGCGGCATAGCGTCTTGTAAGGCTTTTTCTTTACGTCTAGAATGCTGCGGATGTTCTTGAGTCAACATGATTCATTTGTTTAACCTATTGCGTTATAGAAGTTGCGTCCAACAAAATCCACCCTAAAGTTATTTGAAGCAATCCCGTGACAGAAAAGAAATGCTATGTCCAAAAAACCTAGTGCCGCCCTGGGCCAACTCGTAGGTCGGAATTCTGCATTCGGCTGTGAGGGTCCGTTTGGGCGGTTTCCGAAGGGTAATCTTTGGGCTCTTCCAGCACAAGTTCCGGCATAATTTATAGCTATTCTATTTTGAGTTTCTGTGTAGCACACCTCCTTTGTAACCAGGACATGATCGCTCCTAAACTTTGTGTGGGGTTTCCTATGAATGATGTGCGTGCTTTTGAGAAAATTTTCGCCCACTAACATGTATCTGCTTCATACAAAAGTGTTCCTCGCTTTTACAGTCCATTGCAACACCTTTACTTTCAGACCTCCGAAATGTAGTACACTTCGCGAAAATCAAGCCGGTCCGTCAGCCAGCTCTTACCTCATTTGTCTGAGTGAAGCCGAGAGTGGTGAGTATGGAGTCACGATCTTTACTATACTTTTCGCTACTGGGTTGGGACCAGCAAGCTGTGTTTGTTGGTGAGTACTTTCTCGTCCAATTAGGCTCAAAGTTTTGGCAGCTTAACCGGCCCCCCCCCGCTCGACACGTTTTTTGGGAGAAAGGCACTTGTGAAGAAGGGGTCGTATGAAATTCCTCATGAAGGAGGGGGTCGTCAGATTTTTCAAAGAATGCCCAACGGAAGGGTAGACCCTGATAATTGCTCATTCTATGCGTTTTCAAGGTCGCTCTGCAGATCCTAGGACTGGCTTACTTCGAATTGGTTGAGAGGCTTGGGATTGTTGCGTGTATCCCGAAATTTTCCGGAAAATTTTTTTTGCCCATAAACTTCTTTCGGAAGGTGACTACTA